CATCTTTCATTCTCTATCTTTTGATACAATGACATAGGTAATTCCAGAAATCCTACATGCTATCTTCATTTCTGGACTTTTCTTCTATCCAGTATCCCACTTCCCTCCTGTACTCCTATACAATCTAACTCCTACTAATCCTTTGTTTTGGCTTAGCTATTACCTCCTCCAAGACGTCTTTCCTGATCAACCAGGATTAGGGCCCTCCTGTATGTATTCTACACAGTAGCACGTTAAAACAATGTACCTAAACTAATTACCCCCTCCACTGGACTCTTTAATCACCTTAAGGGCAGAAACTGTATCTTATCCATCACACTGCCCCAGCACTTAGCACAGCATATGGGATATAATAGTTGCTCAATTGATATTTGAATATTAAATGAAAGGAACTGAAGCCCCAAGCCAGTGCCTTTCCCATGCTTTCTCAGTTGTAAACAGATATCAAAAAGGAATTTGCTTCCATTATAGGGGAACTAGGTAATTTTCAGACAAACCCTCCTCCCACTGAGGACAAGGAAACTAGCTGGACAAAATATAAAAACCATTTATGTGAAAGCATCTTTTCTTTTCTTTCTTTCTTTTTTTTTTTTGTGGCTGGCTGATATGTGGATCTGAACCCATGACCTTTGTGTTATAAGGCTGCACTCTAACCAACCGAGCTAACCAGCCACCCCATGAAGCAGCTTGATAGAGAACTAACGATGCAGGCAGAGAAATACAAGTCTTTAAAAAGTTCATGGAAAGATCTGTATTATCTTTTAAACCCATTTTCCATGAAATTTTTGAAGTACCCTCATATAATCAGGACAAAAGTTGGTTCTTTATAAAGACTAATAAAAAAGTATAGACCTCTAAGGAGACTTATCAAGGAGAGAGAGAAGGAACATATCACCAATATCAGGAATGAAAAAAGGGAACACCAGTACAGATACTAAGGACATTAAGAAAATCATAAAAGGCAAAACAAGATAGACTGTAAGAAGTTACAATGGTGTTTATCTTTGGGTGGGAGTGGGTAATAGTTGGAAGGGAGGCTTAATGGGGTTTTCTGGAGTACCAACAACTTTCTATTTCTTACCCGGGTAGTCATTACATGGATGCATGTTTTTTGATAATTTATTGACGTATATTTATGTTTCTGCATATTTCTGTGCTATACTTTAAAATAAAAAAGGTAAAAAAAAAAGATAGCTAAAAATCAGACTGCAGCATTTTGATGTAAAAATGTCCTTTATTTTAAGATATGAGGACAGCTGAGGGTTGTTATTTGATTTTTCAAAAAATGCCCTTACCTGTCATAATGCAAAGTTGTCAACCCTATCTGTGTCAACCCCCTACCCTCCCTTTTGGAAATTAAACTTTGAAATTCATGTCTAGTGACCACCACTAAACCTCACATCATTCGAGGCCGGCCCGTGGCTCACTCGGTAGAGTGCGGTGCTCATAACACCAAGGCCACGGGTTCGGATCCTATATAGGGATGGCCGGTTTGCTCACTAGCTGAGCGTGGTGCTGGCAACACCAAGCCAAGGGTTGAGATCCCCTTACCGGTCAAAAACAAACAAACAAACAAACAAAAACCTCACATCATTCTAATTGAGACTTTAAGTCAGAACACTTTACCATAACTATAAAACAGTGTCATAGTATTCAACCTGTGGGTTCAATATACTGGCAGTAATTTAGAAGCAATATTCTATACTGGTTCATGCAAAATTTACTACAATGCTAGATTCCCAGTACTTAGCACAGAATCTGACATATAGTGTTATTTTTTTTCAGTCCACAAATGAATAAATCTCATGACCTGTACTACCTCTCAACAAAAAGTAAAACTGGTTAGATAAGAGGTCTATAAACACAAGCTAATTAAAAGCTGATGAAAATTCTTTCAGGTTAACGAGCTTTAGATATGAAATTAAACTTTTGAAGGACATTTATAGAGATTAACCTTCTCCATGTATGATATAAAAGAAGTTTGAGTTATAGGTTATGTTTCTATTTGAACTAATGGTCTTCCATTTCCATGTGAGGATCTCTGAAATACAACCCTACAGTGAATAACATAGGTATTTTCTCCTTAAAGTAATTTTGTTATTTTAAGCAATCTCATGCAAATAAATTAGGCTCTCTGGCATCAATTTTAAAACAATCTCTTGAAAAGACTGGTCAAATATCTTAAGTAATCCTGTACTGGGCACAGTAGAAGCTAACAAACTTTTTGAAAGTTGACAATATTCTTCACTGGCTAAAAATGCTGCCGTTGGGTCCAAGAAAGTGATAAAAACTCACTATAAAGGTGATTTTAGTAAGTTGCATAATAATTACTGTCCCTTGTATACTAGATGAATAAAAAAATCCCTCATCAGAAAAACTCAGTAAATAATATCTCTGTAAATGAAGATTTTTAAGTCTTTAAAGGTAATAAGAGTACTCATTGAAGTATTTGTTGTAAAAGAAAAAATCTAGAGGCAATGTAAATGTCCACCAATAGGTAAATAGTTAAAATAAACTCAACATTCCTATTCTAAGTTTGTGGCCATTAAAACAAAAAAGATAAGAGCTATAGATGAAAGGATTTTCATGATAAAATGCTGAATGAAAAAAAAACAGCTGACAACATGAAGGTCAAGGGTTCATCCCTGTACCAGCCAGCTGCCAAAAAAAAAAAAAAAAAAAAAGAAGAAGAATAGTTGAGTAGCTGAGCAGTGATTAACATTTAAAAGACCAGTGATACGGTAACACTTATCACCAAGAAAACAAACTCATGGAAACTGAAGTTTACAAGCACTTCAGTAAAAGGCGAAAGATTTATACGATCTGAAGAAAAACCAGAGTATTACAAGCACTTGGGAACCATAGTTTTCTCTTTTTCAGGCTATTTTTTTCCCTCCAGTCCTTTCCTTATATCCATAAATTTACTAGTTACCCACATCTATTACCTTTATATTCATCAGGTCCACCCATTAATCCTTTCACATCTGAGGTAAAGCCATCTTTGACAGCGCCAGCTCACTATGAGATGGCTTTGATCATGTCACCTCTTTGCTCATTAAGTTCAAACTCCTAAGACTTGGCACTCAAGTCGCTTCACAAGCATGTCTGACCTTACTTCTTCCAGACTTCAGAATTACTCCCCTTACAGCATGAATACTAAACTCCAATACAGACCTCTACTCTCCTCTGAATAAGCCCAGCAATCTGTTTCTAGCACTTTATTCCTCTAACACCTGGATGAAGATGCTGTCTTGGAAGTAGTTGAAAGATTGGGAAGGTGAGGAATACAGATGAAATATTCAGTATAAATATCCATTATATACTAAGCGCTAAAGGAGTGGTAGAGACTATTCATTTAAGCGTGTTTTTTCCCTCTTCCTTTCCCCTTTAATTGGACATACACTAAAGAAAAGTTTTTAATACTTGTATTTGTTGAACTACATTTGCATACTTCGCTCATAATTTTAAATTCAGTTGTATTAATCTTTTACTCTTTCAAAAAAACAAACATACCTCCCATACACTAAAGAAAAGTTTTTAATACTTGTATTTGTTGAACTACATTTGCATACTTTGCTCATAATTTTAAATTCAGTTGTATTAATCTTTTACTCTTTCAAAAAAACAAACATACCTCTCTCACTATTGTTTTCTACTCGTGTAAATTGCCAGGTACTTTTTTTTTTCCATTGGAGTTGTAGCTCAATAGAAATAATTTTCCACAGCAGTTTCATTTACTCCACAACTCTTACAGGAGATTCGACTAAGGTTACAAGAGCAAGAACTTTGCAATGACAAAGGCCAAGACTAGCATTCTGAATTCCATTCCCTACTCTTTCAACAGTGAAACCTTAAGCAAGTTGTGTGTGACCTCTCTAAATTTCTTCTTCCCTCATCTGTAAAATGGGGATTAACATCTACTTCACAGGGCTGTTGTAAAAATTAAACGGGTGGAAGCAACTTCACAGTGCTTCCTGCATACTAAGAACTCCAGAAACAAATTATAAACACAATTATTACCGCTCAAAGCAGTAACACTACTGTTTAGATTATTTGGTAACTTTGTTTTCAGTGATTTTGAATACCTGAGCACTAAGTAATGAAGTTGCACTGTCGGACAACTGCCCACATTCTTTTAGTACAAACTAAATCTAGAGCCGTCTACACTTTAATATGTGCCTTATATTACTTAATCCCTCTAGAAAGCAAATGATTACAGAAGAGGTATGATATTGATCATGACAGAATCACAGACATACGTAAAAGAGATGAAATGATATGATGTCCTGGATTTACTTAAAAATAACCCGGGGAAGGGGAGCAGGACTCGCCATGTATCGATAATTACTGAAACCGGGTGATGGGTACACCGAGTTCTTTATAACTACCGCTCAACTACTCTACAGTTTGAAGATTTCCATAATAAAATATTTTTTAAAGTGCCCAAAAGCCGACCTTTTCTTTGGTGCTTCATGCAAACCCTTGTCACGGTCAGGAAGATACATTGGGAAGTTCCGGGTGGCGAAAAGTGACACAGCCATACAAGCCCGGTGGTGAAGCTGGTTAAACCTCCTGGGCAGACCAGTGAGCGCGCTCCTCCCGGAATCCCCGGGGCCCGGGGGAGGTGCACCGGCCCAGGCCGCTCCCCGAGTCCGGGGAAAGGGCGGCGTTCCTGGGACCGCCACCTGGCGGCCGGCGCGGGAACTAAGGGCAGCAGATGTAGGGGCAGCCGGCTGGGTGGGCGATCTCAGCCTTCAAGGCAAGTCGGAAGACTTCCCTCGGCTCCGCCAAAGCCCCGGACCCACGAGCGGCTCTGCCCTCCTTGCGCCACCGCAAGGACACCCTACCGGCTCACGGGGCCCGCCGGCCTCCCCGCATTCCCAAACCAGGCTCCTTTAGCCCCTGCTCTGCCCATTACCAGAGTCCAACCGCCGTCAGGACGGGGGACGCCTCCTCTGCCCCAACGCCAACCGCTTTTCCGAGTCCGCAGCCCCACTCACCTAGGCCTCCCGGCAGCCAGCACCTAATCTACTCAACCTTCCAGCTTGACTGTCAATCAACCAATCCCCGCCCAAAGCCGGAGCCAAAATGACCAATCAGCTATTTTCTCCGGCTGGGAGGCGGGCCCAGGGAGCCGCGGCCCGAAGACAAAGCTACTGCCCCAAGCTCCCTTAGCCCTTTCGCGGTCAGTGTGCGCACGCGCGGGGCTAGGCCACGGGCGTGTGCTTTTGCGCGGACGTCGCTTTGTGTCTTCACTGTTCTGCCCCTGGGAGGTATTTTTGTTTGTAAATGTAATGCTCTATGTGTGGGAAGACTCACATACTTAATGCAGCCGCAAGTGTGTATGACCTTGAAAGAAGCCGTGGGTCTTAAGCCCTCGTTAACCTAACATATGTTGAGCCCTTTTTATCCCACACTGCGGGGACTAGTTAGTATTCAGCCGGCACATCTTCTGCCTGTGTAAACCTCAGATCCGGGGTGTGTTTCTGTTTAGGAGGACTAGGAGGGCTGGCCGGTTAGCCTGGTTGGTTAGAGCGGGGTGGTAACACCTAGGTCAAGGGTTTGGATCCCCGTACCAGCCAGCCGCCAAAAAAAAAAGTACGGACGACGGGTTGCACAAAGTCCCTGACGGATAAGGATTTTATTTTACCGTCTTCAGTTCCAGCATCTGCTTATTATGATTCATTGGGGCACGTGCTTTTTAAATAATTCAGTATTCGAGTTTCAAACAATTCCGTCATGAAAATATGATCGTTACATTTATAGCTAACTATATTCAGCAAAGTAATGTGTGTAGGCGTGATAAAAGATAGGTAGGGTGAGAAACCTATCAGTATCTCTGAATGGCCTTTCAAGAGGCTGTTGGCGAGTGGCTAGGTCTTACCCTCTCATTTGCAATTCATTCCTGGGGTCGCTGGGCGGGCACTGGCGCTCTGACGTTCTTGCCCTGGGTGGCCCAGTTCTCTTCCTGGTGAGGGCTTCCCTGCTTCAGCAAGAGCATTAGTTCATTTACTCAACAAAGGCTTATTGGGCACACTGTGACAGCACAAAGAATTTGAAAAGGCTTGAGCCATGCCCTAAGTGAGCTTACAGTATAACGGGGAGATAAAAACCCAATCTTAACATATATGAGCAAAAGTTACAGCAGAAGTATGGAGGGAGGCTAGGAGACATGCTGTTTTAGTCCGTTTCTGTTGCTTACAACAAATACCAGGAACTGGGTAATTGATAAGAAAACAAAATTTATTGCTTACAAGTTTCGGAGGCCGGGAAGTCCAAAATGCAGAAAACACATCTGGTGGGAGTCTTGGTGGTGGTGACAGTGAGCCAGGGGAAAATGGTAGAGCAGAGAGAGACTAATCTCTCATGTACTCTTTTAAAGCCCTCAGAACCATGCTCGTGACCACCAACCATTGTTAATTCATTCACTGTTTCATGGTCCTACAATCTAATCACTTTTCCAAGGCCCCACCTTTCAATTACCATAATAGGATTTCTCACCCTCAACAGTTATAAAGGGGATGTAAGCTTCACTGAGGTTGGGAGCCATCCAGTCTACAGCACATGCCTCGGCCTGCAGGGTGGCTCAGGGAACACTTTAGTGGGGAGTGAGTGCTTGGCCAGACGTTTGATGAAAGAGCCAGAGCTTCTGAGTTGAAGGGGTGGGGGCAACGGGTGGTGGCATTTCTGGCAAAGATCACTTGTTTCCTCTTGAGACCTTTGTAGGGTGGATTTACTGCTGGGCTGATGAAGCTTATGCTTCAGGCCCCCTGACTTACAGCATCCCTTTCCAAGGCTTGAGAGACCCTAGCACTGAGTTCACATGGTCTTATGTTGTTTTGTATTTTTTTGAAGAAGAGGTCTTAAAGCACCTCTCCAAGGGAGATTGGGTAAGGCCTTTTTTTCCTTTCCAACTTCCCTTTCTTTGCTACCAGCTGCCAGCCTCATTTTAAAAACAATCCATTCAAAAGTGAAGTTTTGGTGACAATGGAAGTCAGCTTTTATTGAGGAATACCTGAGGAGAGATGTTGGGCTGACTCATCTCTCCAATAAACCGGAAGGAGAATGGCCAGACTAAAGCCATCTCAGAAACTCAGATTTACTGAGGGGTTTTTAAAGAGGAGGCTGAGGGGGCCGGCCCCGTGGCGCACTTGGGAGAGTGTGGCGCTGGGAGCGCAGCGGCGCTCCCGCCACGGGTTTGGATCCTATATAGGAATGGCCGGTGCGCTCACTGGCTGAGCGCGGTGCGGGCGACACCAAGCCAAGGGTTGTGATTCCCTTACCGGTCACGAAAAAGACAAAAAAAAAAAAAGAGGCTGAGGGAATGGAACATGGGAAATGAAAAGCAGGAGGGAAGGGGACATGAGCTGCAGGAGCTCACCAAGACTCAGTCTGGTTTCTGCTCCCATCCTTGCTGTTATCTCAGCGTCCTGCTGGAGGGGTGGAATCAGCATAGCTTTACTAATGTCTTCCTTGGTTTCCCAGGGTCTCCAAGTTTCCAGCTTCAGGCTGGCTGGAAAACAACTACATTTCTGTAAATAATGTCATCTTGCCCCATAACCAAGGTTAAAAATATCAAATGACCATGGGAAAAGAGGGAACTCTTTGAAAACAGGTCACTAAATCCTGTCCACACTCAAGGGGAGTAGGGGGTTAAGCTTCAACTCCTGGAGGGGTATATCTACATATGTTTGTATTAGTTAATTTTCTGTTGCTTATAACAGAATACCTGAAACTGGGCAATTTATATATAAAACAAAATTTATTTCTTACAGTTTTGGAGGCTGGGAAGTCCAGAGTTGAGGGGGTGCATCTGGTGAGGGCTTTCTTCTTAGTAAGAACTCTACAGAGTCCTGAGGCAGTACAGGGAATCACATGGTGAGGGCTGAGCAAGAGCACATTTACATGCTTTCTTCTTCTTTTTTTTTTTTTTTTAAAAGATGACCGGTAAGGGGATCTTAACCCTTGACTTGGTGTTGTCAGCACCACGCTCAGCCAGCGAGCTAACCGGCCATCCCTATATGGGATCCGAACCCGGGGCCTTGGTGTTATCAGCACCGCACTCTCCCGAGTGAGCCACGGGCCGGCCCCAACATGCTTTCTTCTTCTAATGAAGCCCCCAGCCTATTCCGCAATATCCCATTAAGCCATTAACCCATTGATCTGTGAAAGGATTAACCCATTCATGAGGGAATAGACCTCATGGTCCAATCACCTCTTAGAGGCCCTATGTCTCAAATACCACATTGGGGATTAAGTTTCAACATGAACTTTGGAGGGGACAAGCATTCAAACCATAGCAACATTATTTGGAATTCTGTACAGGAGATTTGTCTCTTCTCTCCATTTATTTATTGATATTCAATAATTTACTTGTATAAACTCTTGTATATTTATTTTATACTTTTTTATATTTATACTGTAATTTTTATTTTGTTGCTGAAATTGTTCCAGCTTTGGCCATTGGGACCTCTTTTCGGTTGGCTCATGTGTCCCTTCTGTTTTTTGATTATCTCCTTTTTTCTGGAACTACAAAATGCTCAAGTCTCATCTTGTATCTTTCTTGCCCCAGCCCTGGAATCAGCCATTTCTCCAAGGAGCCCTGGAATGGTATTTAGAAACCAAGATCTAGGGACTGGGTATGCTCATTGCTGCTGGAATGTCATTGAATTTAGCCTCTCTTAGTGGACAAAACAAGGAAATATATTACTGCCTTGTTTTTTAATTCTTGGTTTAAATGTTTGTGATAGGCAGCCTCTAAGACAGCCTCCAGCGATTTCTGCCTCCTGGTTTTCACACCCTTGTGTCCCCTTTCCTTGAGCATGGACTTAACCTGGTGACTTGCTTCTAATGAATAGAATACAGCAAGAGTGAGAGGATGCAATTTCTGAGATTACAAAAAGATTGTGGGCTGGACGATTAGCTCAGTTAGTTAGAGGGAGGTGTTATAAGACCAAGGTCAAGGGTTTGGATCCCTGTACTGGCCAGCCACAAAATAAATAAATAAATAAGAAAGGGGGAAAAAAAAGATTGTGGTTTTCATCTTGCTTTGAGAGAAGCAAGTACCATACTATTGTGTATTGTGAGCTGCCCCAAAGAGAGGCCCATGAGGCAAGCAACTGAGGGACGCCTCTGGCCAACAGCCAGCGAGGAACTGAGATTCTCCATGCATCAGCCTGTGAGAAACTGAATCCTGCTAACAGCCATGTGAGTTGAGCTTGGAAAAAGACTATTTCTCACTTAAGCCTTGAAACAACTGCAAACCCAGCCGACACCTTGATTGCAGCCTTATGAGAAACCTGAGCCAGAGGTGCCTAGCTAAGCTGTTCATGGATTCCTGATACACACAAACAGATAATTAATGATTATTGTGTTAAGCTGATAAGTATTTTAGTGATTTGTTAGGAAGTAACAGATAACTAATACAATTTCTGTCTCCTCCCCAAGATCAATGTTTTTTAAATTTTACTTTGCAGCTATTTAAAAATACATTTGCCCAGGCCCCTGCCCAGACTGTTAGGTAATTTCTCTGCATAGCTAAATTAGGAAATAAATGTAAAAGGTTACAGGGCAATCCATTTGGGATTATTAGAGGAAAATAGGGTTTTCTCTTCTTTTTAGTGTATTTAATCCTGGAGTTCTTAGCCCAAATTTATGGCTCAGCTTTCTTGGCAGAACCCAGAATTACTGAAACTTCATCTGCTACTTGGACTATTTATTGAATAGAGAAGAAAGAGTCAGACCTCTCTTACTCACTGTGTGGCCTTGAAAAAGTCCTTTGACTTTTCTGTGTCTCCAAATTCCTAACAGGACATTAAAGGCTGTTACTTAGGCAAAGAGATTTATCTATTGTTAGGTATATTAGGCAATAGAAAGGTGACCAAGGCTGATTGTGAGCTCCCTTCCTTGTAGGGATTTTAACAAAAGATCAGATTACCATTTATTCATATTGGTAGACAGTGAAGCTTTATACTGTTGTAAAAAGAATGTGGGCTAAGGAGTCAAACAGACTCATGTTCAAAACATGCTTTTGCTG